CCTAGCACCAAATTTGTATTGCCTTGCCATGTGAACTACTAATTGGAGCAGAGCAATACGAGTAAGAGGATAACCACCAAAGAATAATTGACCACATTGCTGTGGTCCCCTTTCAAGCGAGGTTAATTTGTTTCGAAAAATTGTATTTTCTTTTTTAGTTCAATATGCCAGAGAAAAATGTTGCCTTTTTTAGGAATTATTTTGTTAAATGGAAATTTTATTGGAATTTTTTTTATAGCAAGGGAATACTTGTCCCATTGGCTTGTGAGGTACCTAATTTTAGCAGTACAACGTCATGGATTGGGAAATGTTAATATTTTAAATTAAATTAAAATTGTAAATTTTAAGCCAATGCACTCCGTAAACGTCCGTATTGTGGAATGCCATATAATTTTAATAAAATTATCACATTTAATACAAATTAATTTTATATAACCATGTGATTCAGATCACACACTTTTTCGAAAGAAAGTGTGAAATTGAGCTAAAATTAGCATTGTTTTCGGTTTAAATTTAGATTGCTATTGAAACTGAAAAAAATATTTGTATATTAGGAGCCAGAGGGCTGCAATGAGTATGATCGAGTAGGCTTGATCACACACAGTGGAAATACAATCAAACTCAATCAGTCGGTCAGATGCAACATGTTCATTCGAGTTACTCAAGCCAAACGAAAAAGTTGTGATCAAACATGTATTGATCGAAGTTTTGTGATCGCAATCAAACAGCTCACATGAGTTATTTGTTTACGAACTTATGTTGAATTGTTCATAACGGGTCGATCATCTATGAGGAGTCTTGTCGGTTTGATTCATCCCAGTTAAGTGAGTGATTTGATTTGATTAAAACACAAATGTTCGAAACTGAGCGAAATCATGATTGTAATTTTACAAAGGATTTCATAACTAAAAGCTGTCCCCATAAAAAAATTGGTGCAAATTATATTTAAACTATGTTTTCATTTTATTTGGTTTTTTGGTGTGTTAGACTTACTTATGACTTATTTGAAAAAAAAAAAAAAAACAAAATTAAATTTTTTAATAAAGAAACACATCATTGGCATTTAGAAAACTAAAAATGTTTAAATATTTTTTTTATTTTACAATATTGGTCAAGATTTTTCACAAACTTCGACCCCTTCGTTTACCTACATCTGTGTAGTTTCTACTTGCAACAATTTCGTTCGCACTATCACAATATTCTTCCATTTCAAATATTAAAAAAGTCAAAATAAACTGTCCTAACTTGATTAAATGGTTGAATAAACAATGACGCTGAGCGAACTCGATTCAAAGAAGACAATCACGGTTGTGATTGCTCATTTACATTCATGTGTTCGATCAACTCACATTGCTGAACACATCAAACCGTCTCGAACGCTCATGTTTGATTGTGAGTGAAGTGATTCAAACTGAGCGTTCGATTCGATCCGAAGCGAAAACGGTCATTTCATTCAGATCAAACTAAACGACTGCATCAACAAAAATCAGGTAAGAAACCGAGTATGCTTGAATTTTTGCATACTCGTTGCAGCCCTCTGTTAGGAGCCATTAGGCGTATACGTGTTGACGTTACTTATACGCCGCAGTTATATAAAATAATAGTTAGAATACATTAATTTCATTGGCAATTTTGCCCCGACTATTTGAAAACCTTAAAATTTTTTTTTTTTTAGGTTTTCATCAATATTAACAATATGTTTCTAAAACCTTTTTCTTTGAGGATTTACAGAACAATGACAATTTTCGGAAATGTCATATTTTTCTTTTTAGGTGTTTAAACCTACAAAATTGGTCGGCATAATTAATTTAGATCAATAAAAGACGTACAATTACCTACATATGCAGGCTGGGATCTTGGGGACCCACCATTACATATCTGTGTGCAATGATATAATAATTTCGAATTATTGGAAGCATGGCTAAACCTTCAAAATATTCCAAACTAAACATTACTTTTATATGGAAAGCAATACCCATACGGAACATTTTTTTATTAGGGCGATCTACCAACTACTGAAAAAACTCTATCAAAGCCATTTATACCCTCAACAATACTTAGCATGGAGAAAATATTAAGTTCGATATTTAGTTTTCCATTTATAACTCCTCAAAATATTTAAGACCCAACAAAGCATATATATTCTGGATCAGCATTAAATACTGAGTCCAAACGTCTTGCGATAGGAAGCTATACTTTTGCAAAGATGTTCTACGATATCGGGTAGTTCCCATGTATCTACCGATAACCAACCGATATTCGATTTCAAACACATATTGAACGGAATTGCTTCTAATTTAGTATTTGGAGGTAGAAATACTGGAGGATAAGTTTCAATATAGAAAAAAATTATAGAAAATTTTCTATATATTTACATGTTTGGCTTTAGCCCCATTTAACGGTTCCTCCTGACATTCGGCCTTTTTAATAATTTAATAAAATTTGTAATGGGCAATGCATTCACTGTCAAAAAGTTTCACCTATAACACCCATATAAACAAAACTCCGATTTTTTTTTTTGTATTTTGATGATTTAGCCCTTATTTTCAAAATTTTGCTGGCCGAACTAAGCCCATTTTTTTCTTGTTCCAAAAATTTGAACTCAATCAAAGCAGTACATACCTGTGTATGCTTAATGGCAGTACTCATACGCCCCATATTGTATTTAGTTGGGAAAGGGGACCCCGAGGAAAAGGGGACCTCTTCAGGGACTTCAGGGATTGTCATCTACAAAATTTTCTTTCATACCAAAATTTGAAACAATTTCCTTGATAAATATGACTAGGATTATCAAAACATCGAATATCGCTGGGTATCGTTTGTATGCGCTTTAGGAAAACGTTGACCTAAGTATTCAATGTTCTATCACAGGAACTAGAACCCATTACGAACTACAAATACCAATTTTTGGACTAATCCGTAGAAAAATGTTGCAAAAACTAATCAAAATACCGAATATCGGGAGGTACCGTTATATGGGGCCTATACAAAAACGTGGGCCTTTATATACAATGTTTCGCCACCGGAGCTAGAACCCATTGCGAACTGCAAATACCAATTTTTAGACATATCCGTGGAAAAATGAGGCCAACGAACCGTTTTATGTGAGCTTTACAAAAACGTGGGCCTTTACATACAATGGTTCGCCACCGGAGCTAGAACCAATTATGACCTACAAAAACCAATTTTTAGACAAATCTGTGAAAAAATGCCGAATATCGGGAGGTACCGTTATATGGGGCCTATATCAAAACATGGGCCGATATATTCAATTTTCAATACCAACCATCCTAGACACAAATCAAATTGTTCTGCAAATTTTTGAGGCTCTACATCGAATAATGTGGGATGTATCGTGATTTCAACAGACAGACAGACGGACATCTTAAAATCGTCTTAGAATTTAATGCTGATTATTAATGTATGTACTTTATGGAGTCTTGACGAATATTTAGGGATGTTACAATAGGAATGACAAATTTAATGTACCCTCCTTCTAATAATAATAATAATTATAACTCCATTAAAAGGGGGAGAACAATGTCCGATTTTAGAATATTGATACAGGACACCATGTGTCCATACAGCCGCCAATTTCCCCCTTATTTGCGGGTCAGAGCTTTCCTCTTTACGTTTTGCAATTTCGTTCCGGTACCCAAAGAAGCATCTACATTTTAGACAAATGTAGTAGGACTCCAAAAAATATGACATTCTTATTACATAGTTTCTAAGTAAATCTTATATTTCGAAGGATTGCTATCCAGTTTTCAATCCCCATACATTTTTGACATTGTGCTCCTCTTAGAGAATATTCCCCCCCCCCCCTCTCTCTCTCTCTCTCTCTTTTACTAATTTTGATATAAAAAAATTTTAAAGAACAAATCTCATATTGATTTATAGTTTGTTATATAAAGCATTGGCACCTTTGGATTCCTCACTTAATTGAAATTTCAGAATATTTCAAATAAGACATTTGGCTTATAACAATTTTCTAAACTTTAATGTTTTTTTTACCCTTAGATATTTCCAAACCAGACATTTTCTCAAAATAACAGAGATTTTTTTCCTTTCTTTGAATGGTTCATAAATCATTTTTGAGTCCTACTTCCCATCCAGCTATACCCTATCCTACATAGATGGAATTTTCCTTTTATATTGTGCAACCGTACAATATACTGTGATAAAATAATGTAATTTAAATTAACTTCTCCATAAAAACAACAACAATAATAATATCAAAGCTAGTAGTTGCTACTCATGTAATGAATGTGTACACACAGGATCGCGTGAATGCGTGTCGATAGCAATTTTGTGGTGCTATATTTAGAACGGCGACAATAATAACAACAACAATGCAAGTTGTTGGAGTTTTTTCTGTTTTCATTACAAATGTTGATATACATTTCAGACTGTATAACAGTTTTACAAACATTTAAACTGGAGGAGTTGTTTTTATTGTCTCAAATACTTAGATCTTTTTGTGTTACAAAAATATGGGGGGACATGACTCTCAATTGAGGGTAATGCTGTATTGTATTAAAGAAAATAATATAACAGTTTCTTATATTGTTATGTGAAGATTTGATTTTCCAAAAAAGAGAATATTCCTTGAAAACGCCCTCACACATCCTAAATAATGCACAATGTTTTTCTTTCACATCTTTGTGCAGAAAAGGCTATCTTTGGAGGAAAAAATATAATATTAAACAAATCATAAATATTCATAACCATAATGTTACCTATCACACAAACACATATATACATATTTATATTTAAAGAGAAAAAACGAAGCGGAATAAGTAACTTATCTAAGTGTATGCTCTTGCCACCATCATTATTGGCCCAAAACATTAATGGCCTTAATGATGATGATAATGACCACTTTTATCGGTTATCTTCGACATTTGTTATTTTTTATTATTCTTTGTTTTATTCTCTATATTTTTTCTTTCTTTCTTTCCGTTTTTTTGTGCTTGCATGCTCATTTAAATCTATTTCAGAGACCGGGATAAAACGGGTAAGACACTCAACACCAAGATGCCATCAGCACCAGCACACACTGCCGAGGAGGCTCGTCTTCTGGGGTAAGATTTGAATGAAAACAAAACCAAACAACGATTAAATCAAACCAAACCAATCCAACCAAACAACCAACCAACATGTATCCATTGCAACCAATACAAACCTATTAAATTAAAGATACAACTAATTCCTTTAGATTGTTTTACTAATGCATTTTGCTTTGAGTTCAAAGTTTGTTAATTTTTCTTTTTTATTTTCAATACTAAAATAGCTTGCAATATTCCTTTGAGATTTAGAAGAGCCTAGCTTGTTATGAAATCTCCAAGTTTATACTCATAAAAAACTAATAACCCCCAAAACCCACAAGAAATACAAAGAAATCCCAGTACCAGAACCAACAAACTCTTTTACTGAACAAAATAGTGTAACGTATTTTAAAAATCAATCACTAGATGTATACTTCTCCATATATATTTAAATAGTTTGTATAGTTATACCTTAGAAATATCAAATATCAATAGTTATTTATATATTTTTTAATTTTTAAATATTTCAGTTTAAATTGTTTTCAAAATTTATTTGTAATTTATTTAGAATCCCCTTATTTTTTTTTTTACAAAATTTTATTTAAAATCAAATCCATAAAACTTCATACCTATAGGACTTTGCCAAAAAAAGAATTCAAACCCATAGCAAGTCAGCTGTAAGTTACAAATGTAAATTAGTTTCCCAAAACTATAATCTAGAGAAACCCTAGAGAAAAAACCAAGACAACAAGTTTTTTTTCACTCATAGTCACCAAACACCCAAAACGTTTCAAAAACAAATAGCTTTCAGTAAAATAAGACCTATGAAAATTCTACGTTCAAGTTTGTTTCCTTAAATCAGATACCAAAAGTGATAAATAGTATTTAATATTTACCATTGTTTATCTCTATTTCCCCCCAAAAAATTGTCCTTATATTAATTTCTTCTCATTTTTTCTCAACATTTAGAACCATGCCTGTTGATCCCATGGATGACATTGAGCTGCGCTCAGTCCAACTGCAATTCCCACATGCCCGTGGCTCCATTATTGACTCTTGTGATCAAAGACGTGTTGCCACGGATAAGGGTGAAATTTTAGTAGCCATACAAGGTGATACATCGAAACCCGCTATCTTAACCTATCACGATTTGGGTTTGAACTGTAAGTCTTTGAAACGCAAAATCTTGTCCTAAAATAATAATAAAATATTTTTTTTTGCTTATTTCAGATGCCACTAGCTTTGCTGGATTTTTCAATTACCCCTTGATGCGTGGTTTATTGGAAAACTTTTGCGTTTATCATGTTACTGCACCGGGACAAGAGGAGGGTGCACCAACTTTGCCTGAAGAGTAAGTAAAACGCTGCAATATCAAATTAAAAAAGTCAAAATCGGCCATGCCGAACTTTTAATACCCTCCACTAATTGGAAAGTTATCCTTTTGTTACCCAAATATGTCAATAAGTGCCTAGGTCCAGTTTTTGAGTGCTGAATGTTATATCTCTTATAATGAATGTTCAATTCTGAATTTAATAGGAAAAACACTGACAATTTTGTTAGTATCAAAAAAATAACAAATATCGAGAGGAATGGGGCTATAAAGATAATTTCCTATCAGGGGAAATAAAATTCTGCCTAAAATACCGAGCGTCTAAATGTTCTGTTATATTGTAAACTTTCGTTGACAGATGTGTCTTAAATGGTCTGTATACCGACTGTCGGGGGTACCTTAATATGGTATGTTATAATATATATATACAATTTGGACCTATATAGACAGTCTTTGCAAGGATGTTTTCGGTCCGCTAGAAACACAATCTAAAAAATATGTCAAAAACCCTAAAAGTACCCTCAATCAATATTGTCATAACCCAAAATTATACGTACCTAAAGTACATTTGAATGCAATTTTGCCCACCTATTTTGGTTTGGTTTAAGAATTTGGTCAATTGGAAGGAATAAATTGGAAGAAATAAAAAAATAGGGATAAGGAGAGATTTTTAGATTTTAGAGAGAAGTGTAGTTAGCAGGGTTGTCTGCCTAGCCAGAAAATGCCTTTGGCATAAGTGTAAATTATGATGGAATCTATGTCTGAGACGACTTTCTATCTCCTATCAGCCAAATAGCTTATGTTTCTTGTTGGATAACATGGGAAATCTGTCTACCTCTTCTTCATCTTTACATAGTCTATAGTCATAGTAGTCGGGAAGATTGTTGTCCCATCTTATGGTCAGATATCTGATACTGTAGTGATCAGTCAGTATGCCTACCACGATTCTTAAATTAGAAGTACAAGTGATAGAAGGTTGCTTTTTCTTCTCCTTTAGATTACGGGCCAGATGGCCTTAGATATCCTGCAAAGGGTTTTCAAGTATCATCTTCTTTTAGTTTTTTGATGAGTGATTTTTCAAGCAGCTACATAAAAGCTAGTTGGTGGTTTAACATCCTCGTCTATCAGTAGATCAATCGACTGGTATCCGCATCGAGCTAATTTATCAGCAACATTATTCCCCACCTACTTCGTTCTGTTTGGATGTCATAGGGATATTCAAATGGCTAAATCGATTTAGGATCTTAGGCTCATCAAGAATATACTTTGAAGGGTCCAACAAGGGACAAACCTTAATAAACCCCCCATGGAATGATGAAGGGTATACAAATCATTGTAAATGTGCACCGTATAGGTCAACTTTCGTCTGTCCTACTAGTTTTTTGTTTGTTTTTTTAACCTAACGAATTGGAGGTAGAAACCGATGCGATGTCCTTCTTAGTCGAATCAGGATTTGACAATGCCGCTGACTTTTTCCGGAATGGTAGAACCAACAGCTGTAGCGTTTCTGACAACATACGATAAGTTCTTGTTAATCAAAGAGTAGCTAACAGTAGGGAAGCCCGTTTTGCGGTAGAGTCACAATATAAGGACATATTTAGTATCTTTGGGTGATTACTCTCGAAGGGTCCAAGCAAACTTCCTGTAAAAATGTACAGATAATTTATAGCCTTGAGTTTTCCTACTTGGTGTTGGCAAATTTCGGAGGAAGCAGAAACATTAACGTGTAACTTTTCCTCCAATACTCGCTCTTCAATCGTGACTTGTTTTGGAGAACAGGACTTTAGACAGCTTATAATCGAAGACAATGGGATGGCGATCACATCCATTTCCTAGCTCTATTTTATAACTCTATTGAAAAAGTCTCATAGATCCTTGTTTTTCAGCAGGACGAAAAAAAGTTTTGCCTATTTAGAGATTTCGTCCTTCCATTGCGCCTGGCTACTGGAGGACAGATTGCTGATGATCGACAGTAGGAGAGGTCACCTTATGATTCGAAGACACGGGGATGAAGGTTACATTCTTTGCTTCGGTAAAATCCACCCAACTCCACTGACTAAGTCTCATGGAATTATAGAGAGAAGTATAGTTAACAAGAAATCCCTGACAGAGATTTCTTTTAGCAAACTTAAAGATAATGGTGGGATCTATGCCTAAGGACAGTGTTAAAGTTTCTCCCGTCTATCAAACAGCCTATATCTCTGTTATGTCTTTTGAGGAACTTCATAGAATCACTTTCTGAGTCGATTTATACATGTCAGTCCGTCTGTCCATGTATTCTTGCAGGTCGTATTTATTATCCGAATGAGATGGAATTTTCCAAACAATATTTGTTTGTTTGGGTTGGGTTGTTCCAACAGGACTGGAATCTCTTTTATCGTTTCGTAGTTAATTCAATAGTGCACTTTAACAAATAAGTCTAGACCCTGCATTTTTAGAAGGCAAAAATCTCGTCGTTCTTTTTCAATCAATTTTGCTGCTGGAGCACAGGCCGCTTATGATCGGTGGCAGGAAAAGTAATTTCTAATTCGAAGACATTGGAATGACGGTAACATCAATTGCTTCTTCGAAATCTCTTCACTTTCTAATCTCGTGGGCCAAGATTGCTCCACCACGACTCTAACCTCATCGTTCCACCCATTTAGGCTTCGGCCACGGTTTTATATAACATTTTTGGGAGGTCTTTTGGCTAGATTTGCTTTATTCAAGGTTATATAATAAATATTTTTTTTTAATGTTGCTTTTTAAAAAATATATTTTTATCTTTTCTTTCTCTCTCCCCCTGCAGTTACGTTTATCCAACCATGGACGAACTTGCCAATCAATTGTTATTCGTTTTATCCCAGTTTGGTTTGAAATCCGTTATCGGTTTTGGCATTGGCGCTGGCGCTAATATCTTGTGTCGTTTTGCCTTAGCACATCCCGATAAGGTGGGTGCAATGTGTCTCATCAACTGTGTATCGACTCAGTCGGGCTGGATTGAATGGGGCTATCAGAGTTTCAATGCACGTTTTCTACGCACCAAGGGTATGACACAGGGTGTCATCGATTACTTGATGTGGCATCACTTTGGACGCAATCCCGAGGAACGTAATCATGATTTGGTACAAATCTACAAACAACATTTTGAACGTGGTGTCAATCCCACCAATTTGGCCATGTTAATCAATTCGTATATACATCGTAATGATTTGAATATTGCCCGTACTCCAACTGGAACTACAACAACAGAGACATCGGCAACAACACTGAAAATGCCCATTATGAATATTACGGGAGCTTTGTCGCCACATGTGGATGATACGGTGACATTCAATGGTCGCTTGGATCCCACCAACTCTACTTGGATGAAGGTTTTTATTTGAAATTTGAAAAAAATATTTTGAAGAAGGGATTTTAATGTTTGCTATTTTTTGTGTAGATCTCTGATTGCGCCATGGTCTTGGAGGAACAACCAGCAAAATTGGCCGAAGCCTTTAGGCTTTTCTTACAAGGCGAAGGCTACGGTAAGTGTTAGACACGATGTGAAAAAATGACACCGACATATTATAGAAGTGTGTCATTTTTTTTCTAATCTTAAACTAAACTATTTGATAACTGTCGTAATCACACTACCACCAATTTATACAACTACAACAACAACAAAACAATCTAAGAAACCAGAAATGTTATAATACTATATATATAATCGACCAAAAATATATTATAAACTCACGCAAAAATCGTTCGTACAAGCAATATATATATCTCCTTCTCAAATAGTAATACATTATTCATCTTTTTTTACAAATTCATGCTATCGTATTTTTACATATTTACTGATTATTAAGATAATCAATATTTTTTCTCATACATTTATTTAGAACATATACTATTATATACTCCAATCAACTACAACAATACTACTATGCCATAAATCATTAGTCAAATATATATATCAGTCATTATTATTAGCTTTACAATTTATATGACATCCCTAGAACAATCAAACCAAACATACCTACATACATACATATATTTTCCATTTGCATTCAACCATGATAATAATATCGTCTCGCTCCCTGGCCACCTCCACCACCTATCTCCATCTATATATATATTTTGGTTAGAATTTTGTGTTCACCTTGCCCCACATCCTGTCCTGGCACTTGACAACTCAAATTAAACCAAATAAGGAAATCAAATGAAGAGAGAATAAAAATAATTGAAATTTTTGAGATTTTTGTATTTTGCCATTAAGGGTTTAATTTTGTTATATGATTTTTTGCTCCGATTTTGAATCTTTCCCCAAAAAATATGTACGTTTTGAAATATCTTGCCATAAATTGTTGGCATAGTTTCCTTCCCCTTAAGCATTTGTGTTGAGTTTATGTTTTGTTTTAGTTTTTAACAAAACGAACGATTTTCCTTGAAGGCCTCCCCCTCCACCACAAAATCTAAGATATCCAAAAGAAATTTAATCTGAAATAGCTTTAGCTTGTAAGCTTTCAATGTGTGTGTGATTTAATATATTATTTAGTTAGTTCAATGTAAAAGATGAGGAGAATGTTGGTTTATAGCTGTCATATCAGGCAAAATATACTCTTTTTAAATTCTGTCTTTTATTAATAGTATATTTTTGAACAGCTTTCAGAAGGAATGAAATATCCCCTACTTTATAAACAAAATCACAGAATTCGGGAATGGGAATTTTTGTAAAATTTCGAAATAGTTTCCTTTTTTCTATCATTAAACAAATGGAGGAAAAAATTAATAGAAATAAGCCTTTGAAAAGAATCAATTTTAAACCTTCCATTCAAAATAAAAACCTTATCAAACAATAAATAACTTCATACTTCTTGAGGCTGAAAAGAGTCTGAAAGAGGCCACTTATGTATCCAATTTAAATTTTTGAACCGTTTGGCTTGGTTTAAGGATGTACAGATTATCTGTAAAATTTTAAAATAGTTTCTTTTTTTCTATCATCAAACTAATGGAGGAAAATGAATAAAATAGGTCTTCGGAAAGAATCAGTTTTAAATATTCCATTCCAAGTAAAAACCTTATCAAACAATAACATAACTTTATATTTCTTGAGGATGAAAAAAGGTCTGAAAGAGGCCACTAATGTATCCAATTCAAATTCGTTTGGCTTGGTTAAGGATGTGCAGCTACACGGGAGTCACCAAGTGCTTCACTTAGAGACCTCTAGTCCATTGTGTTTATCCTAGAAAGAATAAAGTTGTTGGTGATAGGGGAGATACAGAAGCAAGAAAGTGAATAAAGGAATTCAGTCAGTCAAAAAGTCAGGAAATGTTATTAGCAAACTTGTAGTTGATTATGATCTAAATATGCAAAGAATGTTAGTGTTTATTTCTCCCACCTACCAAACGTGTCTATGTCTCTGTTAGATAGCATGGAACCGTTTACTTAGGTACACAAATCATTTCGAAATCCAATTCTAGATACAAAGTTGACATAGTCTATATACATTTTTAAATGAGGCCATTTCTTGGGTCTGCTACACCCATATTATAAGTAAGCCTAGACTAGTTCATGTTCACAAACTTATTAGGGTTTAAAAATTGTTATATAATTTAGTCGTATAGACTATACCCTACACCACATTTTGTAACATCAAGAAGGAAGCGAGATAGACCCATAGAAAAACTCATAGAATCGCATTCTGAATCGATTTATGCATGTCAGTCCGTCCGTCTGTCTATTATATTATTATCCGATTGAGATTAAATTTTCCAAACAATATTTGGATTTCGGATCACATTTAGATATAGCTCCCATATATCTTCAAACGATTTTGGGTTAATTGTGCACCAAATGGCCAATATAAGTCCAAATGACCTGAATTTTGGCATATTCAATCGAATTCAATATAGAAGCAATTACATCAAATTTAGTGAAAATCGGTTCAAATATAGCTATAGTACTCATATATATGTTTCGTCCGATTTGGTGTTTAAGTCCCTCACATTCGTAATATGCACCCAGAAGAATGATATTTGGTACCAGATATCCGATACAGCCAAGAAATACCTTTACCAAATTTTATCAAGATCGGTGCAGATTTGGATATAGCTCCCATATATATCTTCAATCGATTTCGGATTAATTGTGCACCAAATGGCTAATATTAGTCCAAATGACAAATGACTCAATCTTGGCACATCCAACCGAATTCAGCCTAGAAGCAAGTACATCAAATTTGAAGAAAAGCGGTTCAGATATAGCTATAGCTCCCATTAATTAATAAAAACTTCTCGAAGTGATATCATACACTCTAAGGCAATTTTATTTGGTATAAAAAATGTCTCCGTCAAATTTAGTGCAAATCGATGCAGAATTTCAGTTTCCTCTGAAACCAAATTATAACTGATCTAAAGGCAAATCTTGATATGTGGAATGATCTACTTCAAACAAACTTTTTTGTTACGGGAGCTCTACATATTGGTGTAGGGTACCATATAGTCGGCCACACTCGACTTTTGACTTTTCGTTACTAGTTTTAAAATGTATTTTTCATTTGGCTTACATGGTTCTGAAATAGCCTCGAATTACTATTGCCAAAATTGGCATTATAACATAGAATACAATATGTATTTTTAATAATTCCTTCATTATTCGACCCTAACATATACATATATCCTTAGTACAATAGGAAAAGATTTCGAAATTCTTATATAGATATCCATTATCCCATTCGCTTTGCTTGATATGTAACTTGTTTTCGATAACCAACAGAATTAGATATATATATTTTTTTCAATTCAGTATTAAATGCCTACGAATACACAAATCCCAAACACATACCTGGCATACTCTTCTAGTTAAATGTACCACAGATAATTTGTTATTGCGGTTATATATCCAGATAAATATAGTACATATTTATATACATGCAATTAGATTAAATAAATTTTGTTTTTTAATTCTAATGAAATATGTTAGGTCTAAATTATTATGAAATTATGTCTTAAGAAAGCTTCAAACGAAAGAAAGTAAAAAAAGAAATAAACGAAATAAAGTTATTTGATATATGCCGAAAAAAAAACGAAACAAATCTTTTCAATATTTGATTATTCAAATTGGGAATATTTTTATGTTTTTTTTTTTTAAGTTTTAAAGGAAATCTTTTATGTTAAATTCCACATTTATTTTAATTTAAGCAACAGTTATATTAAGATATTTGTTTCGTCTTTTAGCATGGTGTTGTATTAGGCATGTTATGTTTTATTTTATCTGTTTCAAATCCCAAGTTATTAACATTCCAAGAAAATCCTCAAAGTTTTTATATTTTTTTGGATATCTTTAAATATTAAAATTTCTCTACACATTTGAAACCCCAAACACTACACAGCCATCACACACAAACACTAACACCACCAAAACACCAACCAAAAAATTTCCAACCAACCAACAACAACATTCAATGAATTACAAATTTCAAGTAATTTGGACCAAAAATATGTATTTTCTTTTCTTTTTCTCTTCTAAACCAAAATAAATAAACTTTAAAAATATATAAAAAAATCAATAAAAATAATATCTCTATATTCAAATTAAAAAAAAAATACATTACATGAAATCCTTTCAAATCATATTTCAACACAAAACTGTCATTATTCCATCCATTGCATCCCCATTATCACATGAATCATATCACCATTCTTGCGATTTTGATTTTCAAAATTCCCTAAATGCAATTTTTGTGTTATTCATATTTAATTTGCATTTGCCTTATGTTTCAATTCATTGATAATTTTCCCAAAATTATTAAATTTTATTCTCAAACCTTTTCTATATGATATTTAATTTCTGTTTTAATTTTCAACTAAACAAAACAAATCGGTTTCTTTTCTATTCCAAACAAAAAACCAAATTCCAAAAAAAAATAATAATGTCTCAATTTAAATGTTGTGGTATGTATATATGAACCAAAATTGTATTTTGTTGTTCCTTTTTGTATTGATTCGCGTTTTTCTTTGTGTTCAATTTTTATTCCGTAATGCCCCTTGTTGTATTTTTTTTCTGTTTCATATTTCACTATTCCTTGTGTAAAATTGGCTTTTGATATTTGTTGACGCCTCCGCCTCCAATTTCTGCAGATAAATCTCAATAAAAGCTTTCTTTGTGAATTGTTAAGAGAAAAATTCAAAACTTCAACTCTAAATGCTTGCTTAGGTGTAGTACCATGAAACGAACATAAAATCCAATTCAAATGCACTTTATCAATGTTGTGTTCCTAAACCAAAAAAAAAAAAAGAAACTCGAATGAAACAGCAATTAAAGAATATGTCCTTGAAAAAAGATTACCCAAATAAAGCATACACATTCCTTAATTCATATGTAATATAACTAGAAAACCACGATGAGTTTGTTTTTATTGAATAAAATGCTGTAGTTCGATTAAATATTACAAAAACGACCACAATTTAAAGAAAGTGGAAAAGTAGACGGGCGGTCTTCGACACAAATAATGTGGGAATTATTCCACCACCATTGTCAGAAC